AGACAGACAGACAGACAGACAGACAGACAGATAGACAGATAGACAGATAGATAGATAGATAGATAGATAGATAGATAGATAGATAGATAGATAGATAGATAGATAGATAGATAGATAGATAGATAGATAGATAGATAGATAGATAGATAGATAGACTAAAGTACTAAAATGACTAAAACTGAAATAAAAATGAATTAAAACTACATAGACATTAAAAAACTAATAAAAATGACAAAACCAATAAAATTACTAAAACTTTAACTAAAATGAAAATGGAATACATACATACAGACTGACAGACAGAATCAACATTTTGACCACTATGGTCTAAAATGCTTTTTGAAGGGCACTTACAGTATAATTGTAAAATATTATAATTTATTTTGACCTCTTTCCTACCATATATTATGCAATATAAATGAGAGATTTGTGGTGGAAGGGCTCACAGAGAAGGGTCAGTCACTTAGGTTGACATCAGTTATGTCGTGGGACGGTGGTGTTGAGGGTGGGGATGGAAACTCACGTCGGGGTTGAGGTTGGAGACGAGGAGCACAGAGTGGATGATGGTGGGGGCCATGCCGTGGATGGTCATCCGTCCTGTCATTGCTGATGAAGGGATGGTGAGAGGTCCCAGAGCACCAGGCATTGTCTGCATAGACAGACCTGAGCGGAGCGCAGCCCGGCGGGATGGGAAGGGGAAGACGGGAGAGGAGGAGTAACGTGAGAGAGAGGAAAGGAACGTTCTAGAACAATTCTCCGTTTTCACAACCTGTTGCTGCTTTTTCAGATAAACAACATAAGGTCTTCTTGTAATAGCTTATTAAATCAATGTGTTGAGGCATGCTGGGTACTTTTAGTCCAAATGAGTATTGAATTGGATGGTCGGGGTAGTAAGAGGTTTAAATAAAGCCAGCAGAGATCAGGGTCAGGAGTGTGAAAATGGAGCCAAGCTTGAGAGTTACTCAACACGAAACGGCATTCACAGCATGGTTAATATGCGAAGGACAAATTATTCGATTTGTGTGAAAGAAAAATATTCAGTGGTAAATAATTTGTACATTGAGATTTGATATTAAAATACTGATATATTTGTTATATTATTATTGGTACTTTTATTTGACTGAGACCTTGATTATGTCATTAGAAAATAACTTTGGTGACAGAAGTGGAGAAAATTATTTCATTTGGAACAACATGAGGATGAATACATGTTTGATTTTCAAGTAAATATGTTAAATAATACACTACTGTTCGCATGTTAAGGGTCAGTTTTAAAAGAAATATATAATTTTTTCAGCAAGCCCAAGGATGCATTAAACTCATCAAAAGTGACAGTGAAGACATTTATATTGTTATATAGAACATTTTGAGAAATGTTGGTTTCCAAAGAAACAGGAAGCAGCACAACTGTTTTCAACATAATAATAATAATAATAAATGACTTGGAGCAGCAAATCAGTATATTAGAATGAGCTTTGATCACAGGAATAAATGAAATTTTAACAGATATTTACATAGAAAACAGATAGTTTCAATTGTAATAATATTTCACAATATTACAGTTTTTACTGTATTTTTGATCAAACAAATGCAGCCTTGGTGAGCAGAAGAGACTGATTTGAAAAACATTTCAAAATCTTACAGAGCCCAAAATTTTTTGCCTTCTTAAATAAATATCATGTGAATAATATTAAATGTTGTCTTTAAGAAAACCTAAATTAAGACTTCGTAAGTAAAGCTGCACAGTGACTTGAGCTATTAAGTTTTAATATATGATGAAATATGTAATTACAGATCAATGCAATGCACTTAAAGGTGCAGTGTGTACATTATAATTGCAACCAACGGCTGAGTCCCCCGCTCACCCCTCCCTTTAGACAAGCTACGGTGGCCCATACAGGACTAAGATGTCGTCAGTAAAGACAGCAGAGAGCAATGAGATTTCTTTACAAAGGTAAATTAAGGAATTGTATTTACTTAATTATTCAATAAATCAATGTTATTGCGAATATTAAATGTACTTGTTAATCATTGTGTCAGTATTTTATTTACAAGGACAACAAAGTGAGGAAACGCGCTGTGTAGAGCAGTTTGTCCGTTTAGGGCTACTGTAGAAACATGGCGGCGACTCCCATGTAAGGGACCCGCGGTGTGTGTAGATAGAAAGTGCTCAATCTAAGGTAATAAAAACATAACGGTTCATTAAGTAAGGTCTTTATACACCTCTGAAAACATAGTTATGTATATTATATTGCATTTCTGTCAATAGAACGATGTAAATATTACACATTGCACCTTTAAATAGGATGTATTGATTATAGGGCTGCACGATTATGACAAGAATCATAATTGTCGATTATTCCCTTGAAATTGTAATTGCGTTTATTAATTACGATTATCACAATTTACACTGAATGATGTTTATACCATTGTTTGATGCAACTGCATGCCGTATTTTTATATGAAAATAAACGAGCTGAAAACACTCTAACTGAAAAACCTTTAGTGCTTTTCTAAAGTATTAAGCCTCAAATGTCAAATATACATCGGATTGGTTTCTTCTTTAAATTATAAAAAAAGTACAAATATGAATGGTATTATAATGTTATACTAAAACTAAAACAATGGAAAACCCCTTAAGATAACTTGCAGAAAGAAAAAAACATATTTTAAGCGTGCAGAATAACATAAGTGGACTTTGAACGATTAATTGCCGCTTTGAACGATTACGTAATTGTGGCATCCATAATTGTAATCGCGATTAGAAATTCGATTAATTGTGCAGCCCTAATTGATCAGATAAATCAAAGCATACTAATCAATAGCCAATTCCAAGCGCAAAGTTTTCTAACTGCACACATTGCTCAGTCTGTTTTCAGATGTGACGTCAATACTTCTGCTTGTGTTAGTCCCTCTTCACTTTGCTCATTTGGCTGGTGTTAATCTGCAGATGTGTCTTGCAAGTGGCTCAGGTGATGCCAATGTAATACCTCCAATTATTCAGTCGTGAGCCACACGACGCTGCCTCCATTACTGAGATGTGATGTGAGAGTGTGACTGTGTCAGAAAGCTCACCTGCCTGATGGAAACCGATAGCAGGGGCGAAACCAGCCGCCCCAGGGTATGGAGAGGAAATTATCCCAGGAGCCCCTGCGCACACACACACACACACACACACACACAGGGTCAGCAACAACGAACGACTGATTTATAAAATGAAAGCACAAGCACGTAACAGGACAGTGACAGCAGTGTGTGTGCATCAACGCCAACACAATGTGTTTTTTCAGGGTAAGGAAGAGTCTAATATGTATGACTCCTAAAAAATTCATTTAAAATTCATTTTGATATTTCTTTGGGGGTGTAAAATTATACTGTACATGTCATGGTGATACAGCTGTTCTGATAACATAATGAAGATAAAAGCCTCTTTACAAAGATAAAAAAAAAAAATCTTATTATTAAATAGTTTTGCATAATATTTTATTACTATTTCACTGGGGAAAAATATAGAAATAAAAAATGAACCAGTTTTGTTCAAATATTTAGGGGAATATATTTGATGAATGACTGACAGCCAAATCACTTGGTGTGACCAACAGATAGAATAGAGAATGATATCATATTATTATTAATCATATATATATATATTAGTAAATCAGTGTATGTCAGTGATACTATCTGACTATTTGATCATTGTAATTTTTATGTACGTCATATACGACTGCGGATGGATTGTCAGTCAGGATGGATTGAGGATTCATTTCTGACATATATAATATTATAACCAGATTGTCCATTTTTATCAACAGTTCCCTGTTATGAAAAGCTAAATGAATATTAACAAATAAAATGGCATTTCAGATATTTTGACCATTTATGACATGGCTAGTTTAACGCATTTTGTCATGTGATGCAACTCCCCAAAAAGGTAAGGATATTTATAAATTAATAAATATATTCTTAAAATATACTCTTCACCCAAATAACAATAATAATAGTGACAATAATAACAATTTATTCAAGGTGCAAGGGCAATATATTATTACTTTGTATTGGTTACACCAATACAAACTTGTTTTTTTTTAATGGATAGAAAAGTATTTAAAAACCAAAATGAACACAAAGAATACATGAATTAGCTCTTGGCACATGTGTTTTAGATTCACATTTGTTCCTTTTCTTTCCTGTAGATTTTCTTTTTCTGTAGAATTTGCTTTATAAAAGAAAATATAAATTCACTAACCCTGCGTGAGCCTCAAATACATTTTATTAACAGTAGAAAAGCACAATCTATAAAAGAGGCGCACATACATTTGTTCTGTACTCCCTATACCATCGCAGTTTTATTCTCATCCTATCATTTTGAGCTGACTATGGCTTGCTGAGACATGCACATTCACGTAATTCACAATTTGCCCATGTAATATCTCGAATCCCCAGGAGGGACGGACTTAAGCGTGACACCATTGTTTAAAATGGATTTATTCAGCCTATTGAGATGTAAACCACCACAGAGCTCAGAACAAGCAGTGTACATACATTTCAAACCAGTCCTACCTACAACAAATAAAGCATTTTCATGAGGGGTGTTGTGGTAGAAGACCGACAAAATGGCAGTGGTCTAATAAAAGCTGCCATTTGAACACCTTTTATTGCTTTGGTGGGCGTCTGGAGATGTCACCGAGAGCCCCTGAGATTCCTGCCTGTGCCCAGAAACAATTAATCAGCTCTGATTTACAGACACACACAAGAATACACACCGGCCTTATCAGTATCCACACCGCCTCTCGCTCTAGACAGCGTGAGTGATTTACCAAGCCTGAGACAACAAGATGCGTGGATGGGCAGCGACAGTTATCTGCCGCCCCCTCTGACAATCACACACACAATAAATCCACCCTGCAAACGCTCTAGCCCACAGAACTATGTGTGCATGTGCGATAAGGCCTGCCCTTTGATAGTGTGCATGCAAGCAACTGATAGCATAATAATAAAGCACACGGATCGCCCAGGTAAGGAGCAAGTGAGTTAAATATCTGTTACACTGGTATATATATATATATATATATATATATATATATATATATATATAATATGTACACAATTTTAAATAATTTAAAAGAAAAGGTCTTCTCATTTATAAATTGCTTCTATATCTAGCTTCAGTCAGTTTCAAACATTGATACCATGCAGCTCAGTAAATAACAGCAGTTAGTGTGCCTCTGGTGGTAAAGCATAGGGCCTCAAGTGAGAAAAGCATCTAATTAAAAGTCTCTTTGATCGCTTGTTACTCTATGGTGCTCATAGATGGACAAATAGGTCTGAGATTGTTGCATTAGCATCTACACATCATTCTGTAAGCATTTACCTATACATTAAAATGCCACATGCGCTCTCTCTTCCTCATTCAGACAAACCACATCTCCAGCAAGACAGAAAGTTTTGGAGTCTTTCACCAAACATCTTGAGTGCCTGGCCAGAGCTTGTTCATTGCTCTTGTATACAATCAAGACCATAGAAAGCACATTAAATGTAAGTAAAGTGTCTACTTTTAAGGTTTTAAATAAGTTTTTGGATAATATAATGTCAAAATTTGGTTGAAATAATGTTACATTGTCATTCAGTGTAACAATATTTATGTAAAAACTCAAACAACATGCTTATTCTGACTTGTAAATATAAAAATATATAAAAAATATATAAAAGAATAAGAGAGCATATTAAATTTTATTGTGTTTTAAATGAGTACAAAATTCTTACTGTCAAATGGGCAAAACCTAGGATAGTGGCAAATTTAAAAAATGTAAAATTACAACTAATCAGTATTTGGGGTGAAAGTAATTAGTCTTTTAATATGTTATAAATTGATTTTTGTTGTAAATATGCCTGACAAGATGCCTGACACTGAATGACATTTTAGTGGGTCTCTTCTGTAAATCAGGGAAAAATTTATGATATTTATTTTTTGCTCAGAAAAACAAAACAAAAAATTGCAATTAAATTAAACAGAAAACTTTTTTTTAAAAATTTGGAAAAACAACAACAATTTAAAGCAGTATTACACACTTATCGTTTTTATGCTTAAACCCTTTTTTGTCTTTGACCCACATACTGGTAAAAAAAAAAAATGTATAGCCTGAATGCACTGTAAGTCGCTTTGGATAAAAGTGTCTACTAAATGCATAAATGTAAATATATATAGGAGACAAAGGTTCCCCTAATCAAACATTCGCCTATATATGTGTGTGTATATGTCTTACCAAAAGCGGTCTGCATGCTGGGGTCCAGCGTGGGCTGGCCGTCCCCTGAGGGTAGGTCTAGACGTGTGAAGTCTCTGCTCTTGTCGTTGTTGTACTTCACATTCAGACTGGTCAGCTTGGAGAACTCAACACGCAGAGTGCAGCAGCCGTTGTAGATGTTCTGCCCATCCAAAGCCTGACACAGACACGAAACACTATTATGCCATTCTCTCACAAAGAAATGATAGTTTGCTTAAATAAAAACAAGCCTATTTTAGGACAGTTACATATTTTTTGCATATCTTCCCAGTAGAAATGTACATTACTAGAAAGTAATAAATAATAATATTTATTAAAATTAAAGTAAAATTACATTTATAGATCATGAGTTTTTATTGACTTACAAAATTGAAAATACATATTTTTATTTACTTCTCTTTTTTATTGTATTTAATTCCTTTGCCATTAGATTTACCCATCACTGTATATTTGCCTCTCCAATCACAGGACACTGACCTATTCTGGCACATTCTGATTGATTACACCTGCTCTACTTCATTACATCAGGGTTTAATGGAGCCTGAGCATCTCATCTCAGTTTTTCAGTCTGTTAATCAATATCTTAAAGCAAACAACAGCCAAACTCCTAAAACTGATCTAGAAGAAGCCGCAGTCACAAGGTTTGTATCTCCACTGAGCCCTGTTAATGGTTCCTGAGAAACAGGAAGGTCAAAGTGCAAAACCAAACGGAATGAAAAGCAACATGTGCAGTGAAAACGAATCGATAAACTCTCAACCCATGAAACCTCAAAATATATTTGCAAATAATGTCCATTTGAAGTAATCTCTCCCTGACCCTGAGTATCTGCCATTATAGTGACAAAAATGGCTTTCTCGGTCATTTTACCCGTAATCTCCATCTCGTTATGGCCATTTTGGAAATATATGAACCTTAGATAAGAGAACAAGATCGCCACTCAACATGACAGAGTTTGCTTCTTAATCTAGTGTGACATTTTCATTATTGAATTGTCTGTGTAGGCCTGCCTGAAGCAGGTTTGGCAGGGCGGAGGCGATGTGAAATAACTTCTCCTGATGACAAATGCAAATCACATCTAATCCTGACAGTGGCCTGAGCAACGACATGAGAATAAAGAGCTGTTGCATAGATGTGCTGTTGGCTTTAAACAATCAGATGAACAAATTCTGAACCTAGGCTGATATTCTTATATTAGATGCCAAATCTACACTTCAGATTATTGTAAAGATTCAAGGGTGGGCTCTTTGAGCTGATGAGCAACCACCCCGTTCCAACCAGCCTAGAAACCATATAGCAACATGCTGGAAAACACTCAGAACCTGGGGCGTAAATTACGCGGGGGACACGTCCCCCCACTTTTAATATCACGTAAATTCGTCCACGGCACTTTTTCGGGCAAGTGTGTTTGCATAGAGGTTTTCAAGAGCTGGTGTGAATAAATATAGATTTTTTCAAAGAGACAGGATAGTCTGTGCATGATCTGATGTTTTATTTGGACCCAGAATAAGAGCGCTAAACACTCCGTGCAGTGTATGTTTCATTCAAACTCGAAGCCGGAGGCCACTCTCGCGCAGAAAGTCGTACGAGGAAATTCCTAATATGGACAAAAGCGTCCAGCTATCGCTGTATGAAAACGGTTGATTTCACAGAAAACAGAAACGTTTGGGAACATGAAGACTTTAAACATACGATTGCGACAATATATGGTTTATTTGTGTTTGTCAAGTCATCTCCAGGTAATAAATAAAGTATATGAACAATGCAGTGCTAACTGACATAGCATTTATTACAGTATAGAAACTATTCTGCCTTATTATGTGATAAAAAAGTGTTTGTAGTATATAAAGAAATCATTATTATTGGTTATTGTCCAGCAGTTATCTGATTTCTAAGCCAATTAAAAGCTAGAAATGAGAGAAACATTAAAGTTGCCTATACACCAGTCAAAAGTTTTTGAACAGTAAGATTTGTAATGTTTTTTAAAGAAGTCACTTCTGTTCACCAAGCCTGCATTTCTTTGATCCAAAGTACAGCAAAACAGTACAATTTTGAAATATT